TGAGTGGACAGTGAGGTGGATTGAGAACTGGCTGGATGGCAGAATTCAGAGGGTTGTGGTCAGTGGCACAGAGTCTAGTTGGAGGCCTGTAGCCAGCAGTGTCCGCCAGGGGTCAGGACTGGGTCCAGTCTTGTTCAATGTATTCCTCGATGACCTGGAGGAAGGGACAGAGTGCACTCTCAGCAACTGATACTGATGATACTAAACTGAGGGGAAGGGCTGTGCTGCCATTCAGAGGGACCTGGACAGGCTGGAGAGTTGGGCAGAGAGGAACCTCATGAAGTTCAAGAAAGGCAAGCGCAGGGTCCTGCACCTAGGGAAGGATAACCCCATGCACCAGTACAGGCTGGGGGTTGACCTGCTGGAAAGCAGCTCAGCAGAGAAGGACCTGGGAGTGCTGGTGGACACCAAGTTAAGCACGAGCCAGCAATGTGCCCTTGTGGCCAAGAAGGCCAGTGGGATCCTGGGGTGCATTAGGCAGAGTGTTGCCAGCAGGTGGAGGGAGGTGATTCTCCTCCTCTGCTCAGCCCTGGGGAGGCCTCACCTGGAGTCCTGTGTCCAGTTCTGGGCTCCCCAGTACAAGAGAGAGATGGAGCTAGTGGAACAAGTCCAGCGGAGGGCTACAAAGATGATGAAGGGACTGGAGCATTTCCTCTGAAGAAAGGCTGAGGGAGCTGGGCCTGTTGAGCCCGGAGAAGAGAAGACTGAGGGGGGGATCTGATCAATGTGTATAAGTGTCTGAAGGGAGGGTATCAAGAGGATGGGCCCAGACTCTTCTCCGTGGTGCCCAGCGATAGGATGAGAGGCAACAAGCATAAACTGAGACACAAGAAGTTCTGCCTGAACCTGAGGAAAAACTTCTTTCCTGTGAGGGTGAGTGAGCACTGGCACAGGTTGCCCAGAGAGGCTGTGGAGTCTTTCTCTGGAGATACTCAAAACCTGCCTGGATGCAATGCTGGGCAACGTGCTCTAGAGGACCCTGGTTGAGCAGGGAGGTTGGACTAGATGATCTCCAGAGGTCCCTTCCAACCTTGGCCATTCTCTGAGATTCTGTGAGTGGGGCCTGGCTTAAAGCATCCCGTGCTGAGAGAGAGAAGAACACACCTTCTCTCTCTGTGAAAGAGCTGCGCTGCTCATTAGAGAGTGAATCACTTACTTTTCCTGAGTTTTTACAGTTATAACGAGAGAGGAGAAATTCTGCTGCTGCCCTCCCAGGAGGACGCGTGTACAGCAGGCAGAACAGCACCAATACTTTGTAGCCCCTCTGAATCCTTTCCTGACTCCCAGTGAAATGGAAACCCACCTTGTGAGAGATGTAGGTCTTGCAGGCCTTTCTCATTTCCAAATATGGTATAATGCATGAGGACCAACTCAACTCCACGTGAGCAAAACCCCATTTAGTTCAATGTGCCAGTGATGAAGCAATTCAAATAATTCAGAAATAGGTTAAATGGGAATATTCTATCTCATTTCTCCTCCTTCGTACACCTGCTATTTCTTTTACAAGCCCTTTGTTGGAGGTTGTGATAAATGAGTAAATGTATTACACACTAATGATGTGTTCAGTTTTCTCTGGGAGGCAAAAAAATGACTTACCTTAATGGCTACCCATAGTATGTGTGGTGAATTAGTGAGACAGAGGAGGAGTAAACTCCTTTTAATATTCAGCTTCCAAAATGTTTAAGTCATTTAGTTACAGAATTCTGGTATTTTCACGTACTTGATTCCTTACTAAAATAAGTGGGTGTAACTCTTTAAAATACAAACAGTTTCTTTTCTTAACGCTACCAGTAAGTATAAGGCTGACAAATGAATGAAGGAATAAATACTAAAGAAATGTGAATAGTAGTGGGTATCCCATTTATCTTACAACTTTAATGCAAATCCATGTTAATGTGTTTTACTTAACAATCCTTTTAATGTTCTCCTTCTGGGTTGAAGTGCCACTTAATCACAGTCATTTGTCCTGCTGTACTGTGTGACAGTGTAAACTTGGCTACCTACACAAATTAAATATGTATTCACTAATGTTGTAGTAAGTGTTATCTCTCTAATGTAAGCTGGGAACTGAAAGAATTGACAGGAACTACTTCAAAAACCTATTTTTTAAACAGAACTTTGCTGAAGATACTCATCATGAAGTACGGTGTATGAACTGAAAATAAAATAATACAGAGAATTCAGGAAATAAATACGTAAGTGTTATTATTTTTATAAACTCAAAGGGAAGATAAGAATCTCAATTTGGACATTTTGTGAGGTTTAAAATACTAGGAAATAGTGATGGATGGTTAGCTTTTTGGGAATAGTCTTGCCCAATAGGATTCAGGTTTAATGTTTTGAGGAAGGAGGATCGTTCATACACTTGCAGGTAGAAGCATGGATATAAGTTCAATGTCAGGAGAATGACGGCCAAGGACAAAGCCGTTATTTTATTGTCTAATCACTAATATAAAGCTGCTTTTTACAAATAGAGCAAGCAGATGTACTTAATTTGACATTGTCTCCAGGCAGACCAGGTCTAATTTTTACCCTAATGTTATACTCTGTGTTTACCTAGCCTAGGCTTGTTGTTCTGTTGTCAGTCTTAGCTGTGGGGATGAGAAGGTCTTTCCTTCTACAGCCTCATGTCTATTAACATTTCCTTTGATTTTTTCTTCCTATGATATTTCTTTTTGGCCTAATATAGGCTGGAATCTAAACTTTTGAAGCCTGTCAGGCTTCAAAACTGAGAGGTCTAAAAAAGTATATTGGCTTTTCTACCTCTTCCCTAGTATTCTCTGAATACACTGCTTATTTGATCTGTAGATTAGAAGTAATCTTTTTGTTGATGTTTAAACAACACTGGGCACTACAGGGCCTTGGTCCATCACTTAGACTTATAGTTACTGCTAAAAGCCTATGGATTTATCAAAACGGGGCAGAACACGAAACATGGGTATCTGCTGTACCTAATGATTTTCTGTAAATGCAGTGTGTACCAGTTTTGTTCCCTGCAAAGCTTTTGCCATTCCTTTAAAGCACGACTTGTAAATTCAGCAATATTTAACATGTGCAAAGAAATCCTTTTGTGACAGCCTGAAGAGAAAATGGCTCCTTAATGCTCTATAAGACCTGCTTTTGATAGCGCTAGGCATAGCAGGCTAAAGATCTCATTCTGGTTAAGTTATCGTAAGGATATCTATGAAACGAAGCTTTTGCCACGTGTAGATAATGAAACATGTTGTTAGATCTATGTCAAGTTATTTTTTTTTGTTCTTCCTCCTCCTTGCTCTCTTGTTCTGCTTGCCTCTCATACCAGCCTTATATCTGCCGCAACTGCATATTACAGGCCAGAATATCAACTGAATGCTGGTATTAACAGGGACTTATTTTTCAGCAGCCTGATGCACAAGGGTGCATTCTGCAGCAGTGCCCCATGCAATGCCTGGGAAAGGCAAGACTTTTGCAGAACTCAACAACTGAGTCTAAGTTAGTTGATACAAAATACTGATGACAAGCCTAGCTCCTCTGAGGGCCAGTGAAGCACCCAACACTGTCTCCATTTGAGCTTACCTGGCATCTTAGAAGTTGTCAAAGTAATTATTTTAACTGGACAGTGCTTCTTAACGTACACTTAGTTTTAGGAGCAGAGACAAATAGTTCAGTTAATACCAATGGCTAATTTCTAATAGGCTTTGCAACCACACTGGGAAGTAAGTTGGCAATCTAGTTGCTCCTGCTTTCCCTCACGTTTTGTGAGATATTGTTATTAGAAGAGAAGTAGGAAAAGAGCTAACGGGCAAGAAAAATAGGGCGATTTAGGTAAGGGGCTAGATCAATCTCTCTTTTCTTCTAACACAGAGGTTATTTCTAACAGAAAAAGGCATAGGAGCTCTGTAGTTTATACTGCTAGAGAAAATGGGGATGTGCTTATGTCTTGAAAGAAAGAGGACAGAACAGTAATATACTTGGAAGAGGGAAATTAATTTGGGAAATTCCAAATTGAAATT